ATCATTGTCATAGGCTTTTCTGGGCCTGATCCGAAAAAGGGCCTGCCTCAGGGCCTTGGGCATCCTAACTGGTTCGGACGAGGGCTTGTTCACTGCAGCAACTGCAGCCAAGGTCCAGCAATTAGATATGAAGACGCGGTTGAGAAGCGGCTTCGACCGGGAGGCGGGTGAGGAAGAGAACCCGCTTGATGACAGCTGCACCAACTGTGTTCAAGGACAACTTGCGGCGTGCCGCAACCACGGAACAGGGCGGCCAAGGTTCCCCCCCTTCCTCTACAATGCGCAAAGTCAAAATCGGCAGGTGTGCAGACTGAGCGCACACGGTGTGTGTCGCCGATGCAATGCATGGGGGAAACCAATTGGGTCGCCCCAGACAGCCGAGGTCATGGTAAGAGTCTGGCCGTGCTGAGGCCAGCATCCACGCGTCCCAGGCTGCTTGGCGAGTGCAACAAGGCCCAAACAAGGGATCCACCAGGTAGCAAAATGCACCCTGCTGAGTGCAAAAGAGGGAAGGTGCGGGGTTCTGCCCATGCCTGCCGTTGAGCATGTCGAAGCCCGAGAAATGACGTTGGCCGGATCCTTGCTCTACGCACTTACCAAGGCAAGAGGGAAGGCCAAACCATGTCAATAACGGACATCGACGTATGTCGACGTGCCGGCAAGGTTAGGAGTCCCGAGGGGAGAAGAGCACAGCGCAGATCGATGTACGGCGACATGCCGGCAGCTTAATGCAACCCGCCGCATTGAGGACCCAGCGTGGACACCGCCACGCTGGCTGGTGTCCCCCCCCCGGGCATACGGCCGGCAAGGAGGAAAACCAAGCCGGTGTCACTGAGAACGAACATCGACGTATGTCGGCGTCCCGGTGGCTCCACACGGCGTGACTGGTCGGGACGCCGCGGTCGCCTGCCCGTTTCATTAGTCCCGTGTTGCCCGGCAAGGGATCACCGAAGGCCAAAACAAGACATAACGACGTATGTCGTCTGTCACAATCGGGGTGAGCAGAGATCACCGGGCAGAGCCGGACGCCTCATCGGACGGCCAGCTGTCTAGCAGGCGTTGCATGTCGCGCCCATTCGAGGGGAAGTGACTCTCGTTCAATAGGTAAAGCATCTGGTAATTTCGGGCAGTGTACATTTCCTTCAAACGTGAAAAGGAATACTGGTGGGTATCGTGGTCCTCACTATGAAGGTGTGGCATGAGCTCTGTGGAAATGCAGGGAAGTTGGAGGCCAGGCCCGAGACCCCCTTCTCTGAGGAACTCATCTTCCGCCGCCTTCCAACGTTCCTGCGCCCGAGGGTGCCCTAGCCGGAACCTTGGGCGCGTGCCATCAGGCAGAGCTTGTGTGCGGCCTTCCTCCTGGGCGACCAACCTTTGAAGGAGGACCAACGCTTTGGCCTCCGTTGCGTCGAAGTGTGCAAAGCGCCACAGGCGGGTCGGAAAATAGAATTTCTTTTTCTGCGGCCCTGTCGGGAGAGGGGAAGAGGCGACGACATACGTCGTCAGCCAGGTGGTATGGCTTCCGTCAATGGGTCTAGATGTGGCGGCTTCGGAAACCAAGACGTCAGACTGGTGGCGCGTGAGAATCCACCTCCTCGGAGTGGTCATAAAGAAGCACACTGGGCTACCTGCCCGTATGTGTGCACACGGATCCAGTAGGCAACTACCGCACGGAGATTCCAGCCTCCAGAGGTTGTCACTGCACGGAGGCGCCACAGGGCACTGTGGAGTAGGCCTGCAGCCTGGATCGCCAGCGACGGCTGAGCACGTAGCCCCAGCGGAACATCCGCCAGCGGGAAAAGCAGTCGAAAGGTGCCACGATAGGAGCCAGGATACGCAAACATGCGCGGTTCGAACTCTCCGCGTCTGGTGGGAGGAGTCATTCTCGAAGCTCTCCATCACGCGGCCCGCGATGGCAATCTGCGGACGGCCTATCAAGTCAACAGGAACCTTGCATGTGATTCGGACCTCAATATGCTGGCCATCTCGCCCAGAAGTTACACTGGCGAGTTGCAAGAGTGGGGCGGACGATGGCGAACGGGTAAGAAAAAACAGTAGTTGCACCGGCAGCAGCACTCCACAGTGCAGAAGCGGAGTACCCTTGTTGTCCTCGGCAACAGTGCTGCCTCCCCCGGTGGTACGCCGCTGGCTGGAGTTCTCCCCCCGTCGGCTATTGGTCGGCGAAGGGTCTGATGTTGCAGCAGGGTCGCGCTTGGGAGCCAGAGACATCTGGATAAGGCTGCCATCGCGTACAGGGGATTTCCGTCCTGCGAGAGCCCGTGGGAGAGAGCTTTTGAGCCCCGACAGTTCGTCAAGGAGCAGCTTCCACCAAATCTCCGGCCGGGCCAGCTCGTACCAGGACAGGTCGAAAACCTGTCCTTCCGCTAAGCGCAGGACTGGATCACAAAACTGGGCCAATGCCACGGACACAGCAAGCAGTGGTGTTAAGCAGACGCGAAAGGCTTCACCCTCAGTGCAGCGTCGCAACATGAGGGCTCGGTCCGCAAAATCCACAATTTTCACCCAAAGTTCTGTGGACTGAGTTTGAGTTCACAAGCCGGCAACGACAAGGGGAGGGAAAGCAGGGTAAGGCAGTCCGGAGAGCTGGAGAGTAATTGCTGAAGTGACCCAGCGCAGTCAAGTCCTTGAACCGGCTGTTGAAGTCTGCCTAGCTTGGTAACGGCGAAGGGTGTCATGCTGCTCCGCGAATTCATCCTCATCATCTGCTGGTACACACCTGCTGGCAATTGAGGTGACCTCTTGGCACAAGGCGATCAGGCGGGGATTCGACCGCGCCCAGTGGGTCCTCCACACGTTGAGTCCATGTAGCGGTAGGTGCAACTGGGTGAGAGGCCGCACAGCTTTGGCTGCGTAGCTCGGCTGTCAGCGTCGGATCTTCCTTGGCAGGCTCTCCGATCTCCGGGTCCGGGTGCACCGCACCTGTCGGATCATATAGGGCTCTTGGCAGTCCCAGTAGTAGACCGGCGGGATCAATGTTGCCTGAGGGGAAGAATGTCGTGCGCTGCAACCTCCCTAGCAGCCTGGTGTTGACTGTGTCAGAGGAAATAGCGTAGAAGTAGAATGCGCCGGGCACGGCCATCACTGTTGACTCCGACACACCAGCGCTGCCGCGGCACTCAGTGGCAGGTTCCGTGCAAGGCATGTGAGACCCTATCAGCGATCTGTAATGGGTGGAGCGGAGGGCACTGAAGAGCCTCTTGGGGAGAGAGACACCGCCTTCTCTGTGGTCACGGAGGCGATGGAGCCCGAACCTCGGCGGGTTAGTGAACTCCAGTAGTCCAAACACAGGAAACTCGGTATCGATGACAGGGTAAAACGGCCGTGCCGTGATAGACTGACCGCGCGGTCCACTGGCTCAAAGTCCACCCCCCGAAGGAGGAGCTGAACCGGGTAGCCCTCTATGCCACTGTGAGCTGCGACCGCTGTGGCCTTACAGAGCGAGGGGACGCGATTCACGGACCATCGTTCGTAAAACTCCTGGGCAGTCTTGTTGTCCTCGCGGAGAGGGCTTGATATCCCAAGCTTGGCCAGCTCATAGGCGCTGTACAGCTCCTCCCATCGCACGTAGGTGTGATGGAGGACAGAGTGGAGCTCCAATGCCGCCGGAATACCCCACTGTTACCCCACCAATGAGTGGGGGAGGCGATGACCAATGGGCCCGTGGGTCGCGTGCTGCCCGCCGTGAGCCGCTGATGAGCATCCTCTCCGGTCATGGTAAAGCGGCCAGCCCTGTCGAGAATGCAGATGTCGACTGCACCTGTAGTGCCAGCGCAGACTGTAGTGGTGAAGAGGTCCACAAATGCCCCCAGTTCATTGTGATGGTCATAGAAGAAGGAGAAGAAGGATGCAGCCTGCGCCTCCGTGGTAAGGTGTCCCGGCGGGGGGAGCTCTGGCAGCCAATCCGAGATAAACTCCGCGAGGGATGTTCCTTCGGCCACCACTCGGTGTGTAAAACTTACAAACCCTGAACAACCCGTCAAGGTCTGCACAGACTTTTGCTCGCGCAACAAACGAAGTGTTCAGCTGTTCTTGCACTGCACTGCTGTCAACTAAAGCTTTGCTTTAATGAGCCTCAGAACATGTTTCATCATTGGCCCATTCTTTCAACGAGCTTCAGTCTCAAAGCTTTCCAGCCTTGAGCCACACATAAAGCGCGGCACTCCGGATTCACATGTGCTTCAGCACATGCCAAAACAAAATTTCGCTTCAAAAGCATACCGTCGCAGCTTCTCTACAAGCTCCACGCTGGCAAACAAACTCGCATACACTACAGCTGTTCGAGAAGGTACCTTGAGGCCTTCGAGAACTCATGCGGACTAACGGCTCACAGCATTCACTCATCTCACTCAAAAGCTCAAGCAACTCATGCCACATGTCGAAAACTGTTCTCGCAGCTGAAAACCAAGGTTCCATGCCATGAAAACCGCAGCTCCCAGTGAAAATCTTCCAGTGCTTTCAGAAAACCTCTGCAAAACCAAAACTATGCAGAATATATCCAGATAACCATTGCACCTCAGAAAATTCCAGGAATCGCAGGAAAATTGGCTTGCACTCCAAACTGCAGTCAGCAGCCTGATGATATACATATCGCAGCCCAGCACACTGAGCGGCTCCACCACTCAACAGGCAGCTCAGAGGTACAACTTTTCACACCCCCTTTCGATGTGTGTATCATCTCTCATCCTTGCTGCTGTCCAAAACAAGCACTTCTCGACACCAAGCACACATTGAAACATTGCCAACCATGTAGCCACGCTGCAACCCATGCGAAGCGACGAAGACATAGGTATTGGAAAATCTCGCGCCAGATAGCCAGCTCTTCTCTCATGCCAGAAAGGATATCACCCAAAGCGAAGCCCAACGGACTTCTAACAGTGAATATACACACAGGCATCCTTGAGAATACCAGCTCTCACCGCTCATACATGTACCCATGCTCCCAAATTGATAAAGAACTCTTCCGCAATCCAGCAAGGATTTCACTCCTCCGCCAGTTTGCGCTGGAATCCCTTCTGCTTTGAAAAACCAATCCTCATCAAATACCCCGCAAGGTCCGAGGCTTGACTGGATGGGGTCGTCGGATCGTAACTGCGACCAAATTTCTCCTTGACCCAATTGAGATAGCTTGCAAGGTCGCTATCCTCCTTGGATAGCTTGACCAAGGCCGCATAGGACTTCTTAAACCAAGTCTTATTCTTCTGGACCTTTGGCAGGTCGCAGATTGTTCGACCCCAATCCTCCACGGAGAGATCACTCGGAAGTGGCACCGAGGTGATCTCAGTACCCGCATAGCTCACGACAATCACATTGTCACTCTCCCCAAACTCTTCCCCCTCGAAGGCATCAACGAGGTCTTCATAACACTTGGGCGTGCTCACGACACCCTTTGCGCTTCCCTTTGAAATCGGCAGCTGGGCACCGCAAGCAGAACCTGATGCAGTAGACCCATCCTCTGGATATCCACCCACATCTCTGAGACGCTTGGCCCCATCGGTCATAGAAGTATTGGCAGTCGAAGCCAAGCCATCTGCAGAATCCATCTTATCCAGCAAACGGCGCAGCTCCCTGCGCTCATCGGTCGTGAGAACCATGGCAGCACGAGTTCGCACCTAGGTTTCACACGCAAAAACAACTAGCACCAGTACGGAGCTTTGTCTGCAGACCTCAACGTCCGCAAAGAAACCGGCGTCAAGAGGAGAATCCGAACCCAGCCAACAGCCCGGCCCAAACCCCCCAAAAAGCATCACTGCAACGTTTTGATCGCACCTCGAACAATCGCATCAGCGAGTTTCGGAGTGTAAAAACCTGTTTCGGTCCACCCAACCTGCCACAGATTTGCATGCTTAGCACACCTGCAGCTGGAAAAACACTTCAGGGCAGACACAAACTTTTCAGAAGTCGAAGTAAAACCCAAGACTTTGCCTATAGGCTCACCCCCTTTCGAACAAAGACCAGTCATGCACAACCTCACCGGCACATCGAACGTGTGGCCTGCCTTCTTCAGCACCTTCTGGCACAAGTCATGTTGCCAAATCTCATTGTTCCATGGCAGCTCAAAGCTCGAGTGCTTCCCAAGCTTCAAGTACTTCAACACACAAGGAAACACCTCAAACCATTCCCAATCCGACTTCGACGAGCTCCCGCCAGAGAACCGACGCAAGTAAGATCCAGAAGAGCAAGGCGTGGACACATGCACAAACACGCAGTCACACGCAAAGTTCAGAAGATATCGACGCACCTCTTTGAACACGCTGTCACTCTGCATGTTCTCAGTCACGCCAACGTAACTCATCCCGACTCTGCGACATGCACCTTGAACACTCGACTGCGGTCGACAGCACACTTCAACCATCACCAATCTCTTCTCATGATTGCACAAAGACGCAAGTGGTCCCGACAGCGACTCAAAGCCCAACGCTTCGCGATGTATCCCGAAAGCCGAGGACCCCAAACATTTAGTCAAGAGGTCTGACGGATTTTCGATTCCCTTCTTAAACGCAAGGACCAAAGAACCCGCTGCGACACGAGCTTTAAGCCACTCGACTCTTATCTCAAGATGTCTGCTTTGCCTGGGTGTGTCCAAATTGCGAAGAAGCTTCAAAGCGCTTTCTGAGTCACTGTAAAGTACCCCAGGCAATTCAACTTCCTCGCTTTCTCGAAACGACATGAAGACCCTTGCCATGAACTTTCCAAGACTCGACATTTCTTGAGCAACCGACTGCAACGCAAACAGCTCTGACTCCATAGACGACAGCGACACAAGCTGTTGGTGACGACACAAAGTCTTTATCACGCAGCCATCAAGTGTCAACACTCCTCCACTGATTCCACGGCGCTTCGTGCACCTCAAAGGCGCATGCGATGCGTCAGAGAAACACACAAGGTGCCTCTTTCCTTGGTAGTGTTGCGAGGGAGCCAACACACCACTCGCAGCAGGCAACCGCACAACCACGCACATGTCGTTCTTCAGAAATCGAAGCAAGGCTCGGAGACCATGCTCAGTATGATTCGTGGGTGTGGCTTGCTGCGTTGCCAAGATTGACACATAAGCACGCAAGTCCTGACGAGTCTGCGTCATCCAAGCTACTTTCCCCAACGCAGACCTGAACCTGGCATACGCCTCAGGAGACAATGGAACCCCATCTAGCTTCTCAACATGAACCGCTACATCTGGGGGACTTGAGGAACCTTTTCCCGAAAGACCATAAGCCTTGAAGGTCTCATCCAAATAATCTTCTGGCAAAGACACTGTGATAGAGGACTCCCCCTTTCTCCTTGAAAATGTTTTGAATCCTCAAAGACGCCTGCGGAGTATAGCGCAATCTCAGTGTGAAACTCATGAGTGCATGAAATACGATAAAGCAAATCATGATAAAATGCATGGGGTATCCTAGGAGGCAAAATAATAAACACCCCGCCTACGAAGCTTCATTGAGCTCGCGGGTTGAAGTCTTCGGCATAATCTAGTTTGCCTCACCCCGTACGAAACAACAGCTTGCTTAGTTCACGATTGCACTCGACTCACAGACTACTTTTCATGAGCACTGCCCCAAAAGGTCGTTGGCTCCATACGTCGTTCGACTACGTAGAACTGTACATCTACGACTAGGTTACATCGTCTCTGAGGGCGCGGGCCGCCCACGAGACGATAGCTTGACTCACCCAAGCGTAGGCGCATGTGGCATCAGTGCAGCTCGCAGCTGCAACACCACGTTGAAGCATGATTCCTAAGGGATCAGCACAAGGATTGCGATGCCTAATTGCATCGAGTGGCTCGTGAGCCTACTCATTCGGACTCGCAGCTGCTCCACAGCTGCCAAAGTGGTTCGTAAGTGAATCGAGATTGACAGCAAAATGCTGTTTCGAAGTCCTGTCATGTTTTGCTCAAACACAAGACTATGTACAATCGTCGTTGCCAGCAGCCTTTGTACAAGAATCCAACCGATCAGTGCACTGCCCGAAGCAGCGCACTCAAGGATTGGCGCATCAAGAGCATTATAACAAGTCAGCCACCGTAGCAAGCTTTGCATGGCTTAAAGCCTCGTCGCACTGCCTCTCCACGTGTAAGGCGCTCAAGGGCTTTGGCGTTATGCAAGTTGCCGCAACTCCGGCGGCCATGGTATGCATAACCACGCGACTTGGTCACCCAAACGGTTTGCTGATCAAGCTCATCTCTGATACGCTGGTCAAGTACAGGTGCATATCTGACTGCTGGGTTCGGTGCTTTCGGCTGCACCGCAGGTCCATTGGATGATCGCGCTGTCGGGTCGGGAGCATCATGATCATCAGCAGCTCGGCCGCTGCTCTGTCCAAGCACACTCGCACTACTCTTAGGTCTGGCCAAGGCACAAGGATTAGGGTTCTCGGCAGGTTTCGGGACTACACTATCAACCGAAACTTTGGCTCCCTCGACCGTCACATTGACGCACACACCCGGCGTTGCCTGCGGCGCGCTGGAATCGCTGCTCGCGGCTGCCTCACTTGCTTTCTCATGCAACCTTTCTGGCCTGTTTCCACGGCACAAGAAGATACCACACAGCACTGCAATGATAACGCATTGGCTCACGATAAAACTCGGCATGGGATGTTCTGCAAGGAAATCAGCAATCAAGAAAATCGCATACAGCAACTGTTCAAGAAAATTCCAAAACATCTCCCCGTAACCGTGCTCGCCAGTCCCCTGGCTCAAGGCGTCATCGCGATGCGTATTGGGCTCATCATCGGCACTGGCGACAGAATCTGCTTGCAAAGCCAATGCAAGAATCTGAAGCACAAGCTGTGGGTTCACTGCACCTCGCTTCACAATGCGACTCACATGATGTCGCGTCCTGTGATCAAGCAAATGGGCGTTCCCAACCAAGGCATAGCCGCAGTCTTTGTCACGAACATTCAAGCGTGCAAGAATGAACTCAACTCTCTCTGGCTTTAGCGGCTTCGTGGGAAGGTCACCAACATTCTCCGCGGTTCCAACCGGCGAAATGTCCAGCATCTTTTCCTGAGTCATCTGCTGAAGCCATAACAGCTTTCCGTCGATGTGGCGAGTCCGTCCGACTCCTTGGCGATTGCCAAGAGACCGCGCTGCTGCATTGTCGCACAAGCATGTCAGCGCAATATGCAGTTCCGGACACAGGTGTATGATGCAATTCTTAAGGAGGATAGCAGTTGCCGAACCAGCCACAAGGGAGTTGTACTCAGCCTCACATGAAGAAAGACTGATCACCTTCTGTGTTTGGCTGCTCGAATGAAGCAGCTGCCCGTCCCAAAGAATGCAACATGCAGATACGGACTTGCGCGTCTTCTTATCCCCGGACCAGTCACTGTCTGAGAACATTTCGAGGATAGAAGTTTTCTGCTCAGACACGCGATTGCAGATCAGTCCTTGCCCAAGCTGGGGTTTTGCCAAACCAAGCACATGTGACTTATGGCAATTCACATAGGCAGTCAGATGCCTCAGTAACTTCCAGCAGCCTTCGGTAGGCTTGTGGGCATGTGTGGATAAAAATCGAATCCCAAATTGACACGCCAACAGGTCTGAAGCAAGATACATCAGGATGCCAAGTGCTGAGCGATACTTCGATGCACACTCTGAGTTCAGCTCACGGTCCGACGACAAGTCGGTGGGCAGGCCTCCAGTCGGGAACGGGGCCGCCTTGTACCGCTCCTTGGCACCATCAAGTCCAGTGATTTTCAAGAGTTTCTCAAGATATTTGATGTCAGGTTCAACAACCAGCAAATTGGGGCTGACTAAAATCAGTCGCCGCTTCAAGAAGGAAACCTCGTCACCAACTTGGCGGATCCATTCACTGGACACTTTAAACTTTGACTTCAAGTGATTCTCAAGCTCCTGAAGGCGTGCAGTCAATCCTGCTGCAAGCATGTCATCTACATGCACCATTCCACCTCCTTGGCACATGTGGCTGCCTTCCGCATGCGGGATGCGAAACAACACTGGTTGCTCTGCGAACGGCTCAGCAGCAACAGCTGCACGGATCTCACACATAAAATCTTGAAACCAGGTCGCAGATCCGTCCCGTTGCCCAGGCAGCATTCGGAAAAGTTTATACCATTTTCCATCGACTTTTGTCAAGGTATCATGCTGTTGCTTGCACTGCAAGAAAGCGTCGGATACATCAAGACTCAGCAGGGACCAGCCGTCCCCAAAGTTGCGAATGAAAAGTGATGGAACAATTCTCAGCATGCACTGAGTCGTGGTCGGTGCAAACAAGTGCTGCCTGCCCGGATCTAAATGCGCAAATTCTCGCGCAACCAGCCTGGCTCTGCGCAACCAAACGCGCTCTCCCTTGATGACTTTAGGCCTCCATGTGCGGACGTACTTGGAAGACAATGTCCGATGCCCTTCAAGCCAGGACTCACTTTGTTCAAGAACACCGGCTTTCGTCAACCGATCAAGCTCAAAGGAATCTGCTGCAGCATCAATGGCTTCAAGCTCGGATGCATCGCACACTGGCTCAGTTTCACTGAAAGGCTTAATCAAAATGCTAGGGATGTCAGGCGCATTGGCTGCATCATCAGTCCAATCCTCAGTGTCCCACAAGGACTCATCCGCACAATCAAGAAATTGCTCTGCACTTTCATCAAGAAGCTCGGGAGCCTCATCGTGATGGAACATTTCACAATCATGTGCACTTGTCTGAACAGCATCAAGACGAAGTTTCTTTCGGGCTGGAGCTTCCCCGCCTGCTTCCTCAGTCGCAGGTCGTGCTATCCCAGAGGACGAAGAAGCGATCCCAGGCCCATCATCAAACGACACAAGTGGCGAGGCCGTTTCAACTTGCATCGGAGTTTCTGCTTGCTGCCCTGGAGTGGCCGCTACAGGCGTGGGCGGCTCAGGTGAATGCAACACCGGCTCTCGGGGCAGCGGTGGCACAAACTCTTGCAGCATTGCATCGTCGGGCAACAGATGACCCGGAAACGGCAAAGGATTCTCCGCCGCACCTGCTTGTGATGGCACTTCGGCTTGCTGCTCAACCTGAGGCTCGGTTCCGGCACCTTCATCACCCTCAAGCGTTTTCTGCTTACGTGCTTGACCAACTTGGCCTGCAAGAAAAGACGCTTGGCTCCATGGCATGTCGCGCAGCTTGGCGCACAAGGATGAATCATATTGCTTTGGCAACCGTCTAACAGACCTAGAGGACAGCATGATTCCTCCTTCGGTGACCCCAAAATGTAGGTCCGACACAGGAAGTTTTCCAAGCCAAAGCATTTTGCACCAGCGTGCTTTTCCTTTGACACTGCTTTTAACCCTTGCGTAGACATTTTCTCCGAAGCAAACAAGTTTCCCTGCATATGGCCTGCCATTGATCACTTGAAACGCACTGAGGTCGTTGTGCCGTGACATCCGCATGTGAAGCCAGGCAGCGTGCCTCCAAGCATATGCGTGCACTGGGTGCATTGCACCTACAGTTGTCTGAGCACGCTCCTCAAACTGATCAAGAATGCATCCTGCAAGCTGCCGAATGCTGTCAATGGCCTGCTCCGAAGCATTTGACTGGTGATCACCTGGCTCAGTCTGTTCCAAGTGGGTTCGCAACCCCATCTTGGTCCTGAAAGCTTTGATGCCCTGCTGAAGCGCTAAGCAAGCTGGCTCACCGTCAGACCTGATCGTGACGGACTCGTGCCCACAGTAATTCAAGAACCGACAAACTTCGGCAACAAGATACTTGAATGCAACCGGTCCGCCCTTGGCTGGCGTTGGCACAGCATGCATCGCTCCTGTGTGGGAGTCTTTCAACACAAGGCAAACAAGCTTGTCCTTTGATGCACCTTCAAACTCAGCTGGGCTGCTCCGGCCTGTATAAGCAAAATCAAAGCTGCACACGGAATCATCACGCAGCTCGGGTTTGCTCGACACATGTTTGTCGGCTTTGGCACGGAATTTCACACAGTGCGGGCACCAATCTGCAAATGGCACATGGCTGAGCTCGTGGCGACGCTTCTGCTCTGCAGTTGGCTCTTCGACAAACTTTTGTTCAAGAGGCAATGGCACACCATCAGTCTGGAAAGCATGTTGTTGCAGCAACTCCTGGGTTTTCAAGTGTTGCTCGATCCTCGCGAAGACCGTTGCCTTTCCTCCAGACTTGCCTATTCCAAGAACTTCACAGGCCGACCTTAGGGTCTTAAGGGTACACCCGGGATGCAACTCAACCCCATTGACCACAACATGACCCTGGGAAGGAACTTCGGCGGGAGGCACAGGTCCTACACCGCCACCGTCATCATCCTCAGCATTTTCATCCTCCTCAATCATGCTTTCATCAGGCGGTGCATCGGCATACTCGCCATCATAACTTTCATCATTCCACGGAACATGCTGCTGATCAAACAGCTTCTCAACTTGCAAAGGATCAACAGAGCCGATGGTGATGATGTGGCGGGACCCTTTCGGCTCAAACTCCTTCTCAAGATCATCGAAGAGGCTGGTCAAGCAGTTGATTTCAATCAGTTTCCATTCGGCACCATCGTACTGAAGGGTCGTGCGAAAGCTCACTCCGTGGTGGCCCAAAGGCACTGACACATCAAGAAACCGATTCGACTGATCTTGCCTAGCAAAAATTCCAGGCTGCATCTCCGTGTATTGGCTACCCAAGTTCAGCCATGCACTTCCAAGCTTGATTGCACGCACAGCAGCAGCATCGGGGCCACCTGCTTCACCGCTCTGGGGCACCTCGACCTGTTGATCCCTGCGGTGCGCATATTCATCATCAAGCTCGTCCCCTTCGGAAAGAGGCGTGGCTTCCTGGGGCTCGTGGACTGCATTGTCCTCTCTGTCATCGTTCAAACAGTCGTTGGCACACACCACCACGCTCATGATGGAGCCTCGCGCATGCAAGGAATTGTGCCTGTAGTGCATAGGCACGCGCACTGTGCCCCCAGGATTTGTCAAGTAAGGAACACCGTCACTGTGGATGATATCCCATCCCCGCCTAAGCAACTTGCCGACACTGAAAAGCGGCTGTGTCACACTGCTCAACAGCCACCGCTCCTTAAATTGAACACCGTCAATCTCAAGCACTGCCGTACGCATTTGCGAACCCCTAATCGTGCGGCCCTGGGCATCCCTAAAACTATCAAGGCTCGCTCCATCAGCCCTTCCAACGTGTGCCCAAGACAGTGGCAAGCATGAGGCATCCGACCCGGAGTCGACCACAACCTCAATCTCATTGCTCACGTCTGCCCATGACACGGCACACACACGAAGGTCCTGCAGTGGATGCACAGGTGGGCTCACAAGATGCTCAGCGGCACTCTCGCACGGTTGCACCGTCGGCTCGCACTGCAATGGCTGCCGTGATCGCCTACTTTGCCTTGCATGGCTGCGGGCTGGGGCCCTGCATGTCACATACTCTCGTGCACTGCTCAAACAGCCCACACAGGCGGCTTCACGCATCTCATTCGGCACTGTCCAGACACAGTCACTGTCTGAATATGACATGTCAAACACTTCAGCTTTTGGCACCGGCACAAGAACATGTGGCTTCAAAGGGTCAACGCATGCAAACGCCAAAGACTTGCACAATGAAGCAAAACTCGGCTGGGCAGTAGCTGCAGCTGGATCCTCAGGGCACACTTTTGTCAAAACACGCAAGTGACCGCTGATCTCATCATCATCCTGAAACGCACTGGAAGTCATGTCAATCTCAACTCTCGCAACACGCTTCGCTGTGGTAGCCGTGCTGCCTGCAACCTGCGATGCTGACGGACCGACTGTGCTTGGCGCCCCAACTGTGGACGCTGTCTCTGAACCCTGCGCCTGAACCTGCTGCACCCTCGGACGCCAGCACTCGGAAGCATAATGGCCCTTGCGCTGGCAATTGTGACAAACTACATTTGCACGGGAACCCTTGGCACCAGGATTCTGCGGCTGCTGTCCACCTTTGCCTTTGTGCTCCTTGCCTTTGTTGCTCTTGCCCTTTGGCTTGCCATCTTTGCCCTTGCCCTTGCCACCATAAGGATTCTGCGGTTGCTGTCCACCTTTGCCTTTGCGATCTTTGCCATCCTTGCCTTTGCTCTTGCCCTTTGGTCCCTTTCTTTGAAGCGCATCAACCTCCATCGGGACTGGGCCTTGCTCGACAGAACTGGGCAAAGGCACTACACCAAGAGCTTGGTGCATTTTAGCCGGAGTCCAAGACGTTGTCGTAACTTCATACCCCAGAACGTAGTCCCTGATGCTTTGGTAATTACTGGAGTCTGTCATCTGAAGTTGAACGTGTTGTTTTATCGCAGAGGGAAGGGAACGAACTAGTGTGCCTAGCATAACCTCTTCCCCAGGATAGTGTCCAGTGACCCTTTGATATTCTTCAGCTATTCTCTCGAGGCCTTGGATGTGTTCCCGCAAGCTGCGATCTTTCCCGAAGCTCGGGAGCGTCATAAGAGCATTCAAGAGAGCAAGTCCTCTGAATTTCGATTTGGGTGCGAAGGTATTGGTGAGCACCCGCCAGACCTCTAGGCCGTTTCTGTTGCTGACCTGACGCAAAATCGCTTTTGGCTTCGAACGAAGAATGCTTGCAAGAATCGCGTAGAGCCTCTGAGACCTGGCAATGCGATCAGGCGAAGCCCCAGTCAGATCAACAGGGCCCTGCAAGTTGTCCTCCACAAGCTTTAGGTCCTGCTCAAACTGGCTTTCAGCGAAAACCAGCCACGTTCTGAATGAGTGGCTCCATTCAGACCAATTTGCAAGATCGTTGTCATGTACCCCGGACCCAAATTCCGAAGGGCGATTAAGAATCTTATTCGCATCCGAAAATCCCGAAGTCAAATTGCTCGAAGGCCTTGCAACGGCTGCCTGAGCAGCCTGTGACGCTGCTTGCGCCGTCTCAACCATCTGTGCCATAAGCAACTGCATCTGTGTCATGTCGATTTGCACAAACTGCTGTGGTGCTTGCTGTCCCTGCCCAACTGGCGAGAACGGGTTCTGAGTCACTGGCGGCTCAACACCGGCACTGCCTGCCGGCTGCTGGGGCAACTGCGGCCCCTCATACACATTCTGACCTTGCGGATCCATCTCTTCTTTGTCTGATCAAGAAATTCAAGGAAATCAATCCAACTCAATCACAGAGTCCTGCTGCTGCAATCGGCGCTTGAATGCACGCTTCGGCTCAGCTGAAGAACTTGGCAGCTCACAATCAGCACTAGCTCTCAAAAGCTCCTGCAATTCAGCACTGCTAGCAAGAAGATCACGCTCGAAGTTAGGGCCTTCCTCCACAGGATGTAACGAAGCTTGTTGCAACTCCTCTGAAATGCAATTCTCAGCAACGTCCTCAGGTGCGAATGCCTCAAAAACTTCTCTCAAATGTTGTTTCTTCAAGCACTTAGTCGCAAACCTCCAAACGCACTCAACTGTATGCAGCTCTTCAAGTCTCCGCTCAAAAGCAACTCTATAAGTTGATAAGATCTTATCCCAAGAAGAACCTGATCTGCCCTCGGGACGGGGCCGTTCACAAAGCTGCTCAACGTACAAGCTGTGCAACCTTTCCTTCACTTCCTCTACCGCAGCAAGAGACGCCGTGGCCTTGCTCTGTCTGAGCACGCAATGGCTCGTCCGGTCTGCGCCGGGATTGCGATCCTACCTAGATCCTAAACGGAAACAGAAATCCCCAAAGGTCCAGGACAAACTTTCCGAAGCCTGAGCTCCCCGAACGCACTTCGCAACGCAATGTGCAAGAGAGCCCCGAGACGTGTCTCGAAGCTTGGGCTTTCCCAAGCTCCGCTACCATGAAAATGTTTTGAATCCTCAAAGACGCCTGCGGAGTATAGCGCAATCTCAGTGTGAAACTCATGAGTGCATGAAATACGATAAAGCAAATCATGATAAAATGCATGGGGTATCCTAGGAGGCAAAATAATAAACACTCCTGGAGATAACCCTACCAATGAACCGCAAAGTGCCACCGCCATCCTTGGAAGAATTGATCAACCCAGTTCTCTTGAGTTCAACTTTCTCCTCAATCACTCCAAAGATGTGATCTACATCCTCCTTTGTTGGCGCAATGCACAGAAAATCATCCACATAGACCAACAGCAAACAGGGACCTGACTCAAGCATGCCTGAAAACAGACACGGCTCTAAGCTGCAACTTTGAAGCCCCAAAACCTTCACAGTCTCCCCTACGAAGTAAATCCATTCTTGCGAAGCCTTGCGTAGCCCATTGAGGGCTTTGTTGAGGTGAAGATACAAAGGATCCCCCGAAACCGAAGACACTGACAGAGGAAACCTCATAACCACATCCCTTTCCCTCAAAGGCGTAGCCATGAAAGCGTGAGATACATCAGCGCTCGCAATCACGCAATCTCTGCAACCTGCAACCCCAAGAACCGTGAACAAAACATCGGCACTAGGAGTAGGACTTGAAATGCCCAAAGCCCTTGCAGACTCTGAGTTCTTGCCAGCAATATCCTTGATGACAATCCTAGCTCGCACAGTAGTTGGTGTTTTCTGCGTCGTGACCCAACGACTAGGGATGACCTTCAAGGTACCTGGGAACCTCTTCTCAAGACTCTGAAGTTCTGAAGCAGTCAACAGATCCCCAGTTTCCATGTGACTCAAATTGTTGACTTCTTTGACCATGCTTTCCATGACTTGATCTCCTGAAAGCTCACCCAAGGTAGAGTCATCAACAGCGGAACTAGGCTTCCAAAGTCTCAAATGCGACCTTTTCCCAAACGGCAAAACAACACTCGTAGAGTTCGGGGCGAACTGAACCGAATCCACAAGCCCTGAAAGCAAAGGGATATAATTGGAAACCTGGAACGCCTGCTCAACAAAACTCGCAAGAGGCATGTGAACATCATTCCCTGTTTCACAATTGTGGAAGGTAACCATAACTGAAGCAACCCTTTCTTGGTCCTGCCTGATCTTACGCTCCAGATCTTCCAACGGGACTTCAGAGGAGCGTTTCACAGCACTGCTTCCACGAAGCACTTCTTCAGCCTCTAGGCTGCCTCCGCCTTCACTTCCAGTCAACACTGGATCAGCAAACGGCATCTCAGTGTCCTCATCAAGAGCCCCAATGCCCTCAGACTCAGGAGCAGCAGCTCCTTCAAGATTTTCAGGCAGACGCCTGGATGAAGCTTCGTCATCATCGGGCTCCCCAGAAACAGAAAATCTAACACTCAGATGTTGGTTCCTTCGCTTGCAATCAGCATTGTGACGAATGCCAGGAGCATTCATGCCAGACTCGCACGCAGGACAACCACGCGTGAAAACACGACCACTAGGGGCCGCCTCGCTCACAATCCTCGCTGGAGCCTCAGACGAAGCAGCGTCCCCACTGGCCGGGGGAGGCAAAGGAGAACCCTGAGCCTCCTCCACAGCTCGGTCTTGCCTCGACTCATCCTCGGCTAGCTCAGAAAGAGCTTCACGCATAGCCTCTGCATCCGAAGCCACAGGCACTTCAACGTCCATGCTGTCATCTGTTGCAACTTGCGACCGCAACCACGCTTCATATCTCAAACAGCAAGCCCGACCGTGAGAAGAGCCCTTCCTAGACCCAAATTGTGCCATGTTAGAACACGCTCGGCACTCACCTGAGAACCCATACCTCTCAAAAAACTCCTTTGGCGGACCGGAAACAGGACACTTCAAAGAGGCACCCTGGGAACTCGGAAGAATCCGAGGCGCAACTGGATGATCTGGCCTCTCAGGCCCAAGCTCACCACGACGACGCAAAACTTCAAACATCCCCGACTCGAAGACAAGCTCAATCGGAAACACAAGCTTGATCGACTTGGCAACAAACACCTTTGGCGTCAAGACCTGGCCCACACGCACATGCGCATACACCAAGCTCCCAAGCGACCCAAATTGCGGATGAAGAAACGCTGCCGCCTCAAAACGCGACATATTCGGGCACAAAGCCTTCACAGACTCAGGGACCTCAGCAAGCACCTTGGACCCAAACAACGCAAAAGGGGTATCTGGCAACCTTCGACCAACTGCAACCTCCTTTGGAGAGCGTTCACCGCCAAAAGCTTTGCCATTCGCATTCACACTCATGCACAGGTAAGAAAGTGCAAGCTGCAGCAAGTCTCTCCGAAACGACCAAACGCAACCAAGCGACTGAAAATCACTTTGCAAGGTAGCTAGCCCTTCTTTAAGGACCCGGACTGTCCTTTCCGCACCACCAAGCTGTTCATGAGCCTGTGGCGCAGCCTTGCGCACCATAAAAATGTACTTATCCGACGCACCTGCAACAAACGACTTCACCGCTTCTTCGGAATCTGTCAAAAGCACAATGCTTGCTTGTGAGGACGACATCCCAAACTCAGCAAGCCACTTCAAAAGAAGACCTCTGTCTTTTGCAATGTTCTCAGTTATCATCACAGCCCCAATAGAAGAAGAAAAGGCCTCACGAAGGACGAGGACCTTGAAAGAGCTACTTGTCTGGCGTTCAGCCACGCTGATCATCTCTCCAGAAGAGTCCAGAAACATAAAATCTGCAACAATCTCTGTTTCAACTCCGCGCTCAGACTTTCGCCTGTGTTGGGTAACACCTCGGGACTTCAGACAATGTTCGCAATCGGGATGGAAGGGCATGTGGCCCTTTGCTCTGTGAATTTCAAGATCTTCCTTGGTCTTCTGCGAAACAACTGCAACATGTCCAATCGAGGAAATTGGAGCAGGATCAACTGAGTCACCCGACGGCAACAAGAGATCACCCTCTGAATGAGGAATCACGCGGATCCAAGGCGTGTCACACCAAATACAGGTATCAATCATATCAACACCCGACTTCACATGACACACAGAAACGCCTTCATCCAAGACAACACGCCAGCCATGCCTTCCAAGAGTTCGCGTTGACAGGATATTGTAAGGAGTGTCACCCACCATCACAGGGATCTTACAGACACCATGGCAACTTGCACGGGTCCCGGGGGGGTCGGTGATTAAGCCCCGGGCTCGTGCTGCACGTGGGTTTTCAGTGATGTTCCGGTCCAGAGGGGCTCGGTGTTGAACGCAGCAAAATTGAGCGTGTGTTTTTCAAACGGCCTTGATATGTGATGGACAGGATGAGGACTACGACGACGGATTGCATTCAAACAGGACTAGGGACTGGACCATTTTCATGCCCACCCTAACGTTTGCGTCAAAATTTGAACTGCAGGCGGAAATTCAAGTTTTGAGCCGCATTGGCCCGTGATGTGTCGTCTGTTGGCTTGTTCCATGTTATCAGCGCATCATTGCATCATCAGGAATCATCAGGAAATTGTCGTCGTCGCACAGACAGATGTCTCGACAACGAATTCGCGCTATCGTGTGCCCTTCCGTGCCAACACTCAAAAAACACCCTTAATCCCCAACAGCAGCAACAGCAGGCTCCTTTTTGAGGAGATCAACAGTTGAGGCAGTTGAGGTTTATGGATTCGTCAAGGGCCAGGGCTTATGGGTTTAAATTAGAATTGCGGGTGGTTTGTTACTACCTGTACCTGTTACCTGTTCCTGTTTCTGCTGCAATGGAGCCAAACCCTAAACTCGAAGCCTAAAAACCCTAGCCCTAATCGCCCTAATCTCACTAAAACCTGGACCCTGATCAGCCCTGATTCCTAAGCCCTACAAACCTCATACCCTCAACCCTAAATTGCCCTAAACCCTGATCTCCAAACCCTAAACCGTGATCCCTAAACCTAAACCCCATACCCTAAACCCTGATCCCTCAACTCTAAACTCGAAGCCCTGCCTTCGGCCGCACAAAACCTTAATTACCGAGAGCGGTCCGGTAATTAAGCCCTGCGCCTGGATCCGGTCTAATTCCCGAGATCCATCCTTAATTACAGGGGTCCTGTCCTTAATTACCGGGGTCCGGCCTTAATTACCGGACCCCGGCCTTAATTACCGACCCCCCCTCGGTAATTAAGGTTTGGACCGGCCTTATTTACTGGGGTCCGGGCTTAATTACCGACCCCCCCTCGGTAATTAAGGTTATGGAAGCATGTTTTAGTGCATTTTCGAGCGCTGACCCCGTCAAAATGAGGGGGTCAGCGCTCGAAAATGCACCAAAACAT